TGACTCCTCTGTGTCAACATCACACACACACACACACACACACACACACAGATACGCTGCAGGGCCGGCTGCCTCTGCTGCCTGCTCATTGGACGGAATAAAACTGGATGTTGGGGGTTCATCTCATGTGCAGCCTGGAGGGTGTCAGTCTGGGAAACCTGAATGAAAACCTGTCTCATCCTGCCCTCCACAGCTGCTGATCTTTAAGAGGACTAAACACAATTTCACACCTTTGTTTTTCTACTCGGCTCAAAATCGACTTCACTTCACTCTCTATTTCTAGCCCCCCCCCCCCCCCCCCCGGTCTGTCTCTGGTCTGGTCAGACTGTTTTGGCTGCAGCTCAGTCAGCAGAGATGGAAACCTCCTGCTGAAGGTTGTGTCTCGTTTCAACACAATAGAACTCAGTAGAACAATGAGCTCTGATGTTCCTCTTCAGTAATACTCAATAGGAGTTCAGGTCACAAATAGGAGGCTCTTTGACCTCTTGTACATTTTTAAACTCACATGTTTAAAGTCACAGAAAGATCTAACTGAGATCACTGCTTTGTGAAAATGTAGGGATGTGACAGAAATAATCGGCTGTCTTTCTCCTCTTCAAGCTCCGCCTTCAGGACTATGATGCTCAGTGAGAACAACGTCCAAAAACACCTGCTTCAGAAAACACTGACGTCCTGATTCACAGAAGGATTGCGCAGCTTTTTCACCCAGTAAACCAAAACCTGTGAAGACGAGTCAAAAAGACACTTTATCGATCACAGAGCACACACAAAGGGTTAAATAGACCCCTATGTGCTGTGGAGCAAACAGGGTCTCTGTGCTCTGTGTGCATATTTAAATGATCCCCTCTATTTAAAAACTGGAGCCTTTCTATGCAGATCTAAACACATGTCGAATTCACAAACGCCGCTGCTAACAGCCACGCGCAGAGTGATCTGTATGACGGTCTGGAGCCGTAACGCACGACAACGATGAGAGTGTTATTGTTCTTTATTTGAGCTGTCCTATCACGCTCCATCAGGGAGGACGCGTTGATCGAAACAGTTAAACTTATATCACACTTCTGGAGGCAGGCTGGGTGATAAATTTGACTCTTCATGTGAACACATTGAGCTCCGTCATCATGAGAGAGCAGCTTCTTGGACAGTGAAGGTGCAGAAAACTTCTCTCCACATTCAGACGGGAAAAAAAGATCAAACTGCACGGAGCAGGAAAAGCTTTGTGGGCGTGTTTGTGCCCGAGTATCTTACACCTCGAGACGTGTTTACAAAGTTTGTTCTACATTTCAGTTCAACAGTTAAACTGTTTCCAAGAAGCCCAAACATCCTGAAGACTCCTTAAATCCACAGAGAATCTGTGTTCAAACAGTTTACTGGAGAGGTTTCTGTCGCCTCTAAATCCATCAACACGTTGTGAAAGAGTCAAAGTGGGAATCAACACAAACCATCAATGATAAAGAAAAAAAAACAGTCCTCTCTGACATCAAAAGATCTTATATTTCATATTGTGTGTATTTTTATTTGTAACGTCTGTGTGCACACGTGTAGTTTGTGTAAATGTTGTATGCTTTCTTTATAAAATGGTGTATTACTTATGAAATGTTTGAAATGGTTTGGTATGGACTTGCGCTTGAGCTATTTGTTAGTCTTCTCACTACTCAAAGCACTTTTACTCCACAGGTCACACTCACATTCACACACTGATGGTAGAGGCTGCTGAGTGAAGAGTCCATCAGTATTAACTCATCCATTCACACACATTCACACGCTGATGGTAGAGGCTGCTGAGTAAAGAGTCCATCAGTATTAACTCATCCATTCACACACATTCACACGCTGATGAAGCAGCGGGAGCAACTTGGGGTTAAGTGTCTTGCCCAAAGACAGATTGGACATGTTGCTGCAGGAGCTGGGGATCAAACCCCCGACCTTCCAGTTGAGAGACGACCGACTCTACCAACTGAGCCACAGCCGCCCTTTGGACAGCCTGGTGACTGAAAGGTGCTGAAATTAAGCCCATCTAAAGGTTCTGCATGCTTCTGAAAATGTGAGATTATACTGAGAAGCATGAAATAATGGTGACTTTAAGTCAGATCTTCAGACCAAAGCTCAAAATGGGTGTTTAAGACGTAAAAGTAGGATTAAACAGCGGGGGGGAACTTGCCCAACAAGAGGATGTTAAAAGCTCTTTTCACAAAGTGTGTCTTTGTCCCGTCCTCAGTGTGGGACCCTCGTCTAAACTGTCTGCAGTATAAATATGAAACACTCCAGTTTCCGTCCCTGTCGGCCTCTTTCTGCTTCAGCCTCTGGAAGCTTCCTTACTTCCTCCTCAAATGCCCTTTTTCCTTAAAGACTGAGCTCTTTGTTTCAGCGATTAGCTGGCAGATAGAAAAGCAGGCAGGCCGATATCTGAGACGATTGTGCACGCCTGCCTGCTCCTGGCATTCAGAAATACTCTCTCTCTCTCTCTCTCTCTCTCTCTCTCTCTCTCTCTCCAGATGTAGAGCACACTCGTCATGAGACCGGCAGGAAAAGAAAAAAAAACACGACCTCTGAGTGTTTGTTTTACTCCGGCTGAACGTTCTCACGAGCACCTATGAGCTCAGCGAGTCTGGCGACCTTTGACCTCTCATACCACCGAAAAAACCCTCCCCGGGTTTTGAAAACAGAACGAGAGCCAATGAGAGAGCAGGAACCTGTTTGAGCCGTGTGACCGTTACCCTACAACCCTGAAGGGGAAACCGGTTGTTAATCGCTCACAGAGCTGATCTGTCAGCGAGATGATGAAAAGCATGACTCGGGTATGACTCAGGTGTTGCCATGCCGACGTGACTGCAGCGAGGTGTGGATGCCAGTGTCGTAAATCGGTTGTAATGACGGTTTATTTGATTTACAGCTCGAGGACTTCACACTGACACGCTGAACCACCTGACGGGCTGATTTGTGGTTAATCATCACGTTGTTTTAACACTTTAAACAAAGAGACCCGCCCACCTGTTGACTCACACACCTGTAACCACACACACTCAGCGTATCCATGAGAGTGAAACTCTTGGGGATGTTCCTGACTCTGAATTCTCTTCTTTTAATCTGATCTGGCTGCTCAATAGACCGTTTTTCTGTTGGGTGGTTTTTATGGGCGGAGTCTAACTGCTGGCAGGACGTTAGCTCACAGTAGCTAACAGTCAGATCAGATCAGAAAGTTATGGACCACCTGGACGCCTTTCGCTTTGTTTTTAATAGTTTGGCAGCAGAAGACATGTCGTCTCACAGTGACGAGCTAACCGTTAGCAACGAGCTAAAGCGTCCTCACTCACTGCCGGCTCAGCGGGTCAACGATCCCGACTAAATGTTCAAAGTTATGGTCGCACACCCTCGAATATCTTCTGGACGAATAAAGCATCTATGCTAAAGAAAAACTCAAGACGTACAAATGTCAGTTTAGTACTCTGCGTTCATGTCCAGGACCATGAATATCTGAAACTGTGGAGTGTACCTTTAAGACACACTGGGTTGCTAGGTCAGCTCGCTCAGTCTCACTTTGAAGACGTTTCAGACTGAACTGTAAGAAGGGTCCACAAACCGTCTCCATGACGACGTTCAGACGAGATGGAGCAGCTTCCTGTTTGTATGTGAAGCCGGCTAAATGAAATGCAATGTGGGGTTTACTTCAGTTCTGTGAAGCCTCACACGTAATACCAACAACAACAATATCAAAATCAGTATTAATATCGGTACATAAGTATCAGAATCTGATCAGAACTGAAACAATCGGTGAAATCGGTGATCGGGATCGGTGCATCTTATGAACAAGTCCAACAGCTACATAAGGATGGCAAACAGCACCCGTATAGCTTGGTTAGCATTTACTCTCTGCATTTAGGAAATTAAACTGAATCTAAATAAATCTGCCTTCTTTGTTTTTATACAGAAAGAAGATTTCATCCTGAAGATTCTGATGCTGTACTGATCTAAAAGCTGAAGAGTTTCAAAATAAGAGCAATCAGATGATTCAACCAGCTGCTGCAGAGAGGATCTCTGTTTCACCATTACTATCATTTATATCCAATAAAAAAAAAAAAGTCATTGGCTGCATTAAGTGGAACTTCTGTTTGGATTAAAAGCCCCAAAGCAGCAGCTGAGACTGTGTCAGCATCACAGAGTCTCAGTAAATTAACAAACAGTGTTGCAAACAGAGGGCTCATTAAAACGTCCCTTTAACATGTCCAGAGTCAGCTGGCCAATCACAGCGCCCTGTGGGACCTCAGACTTCTATTAATAGCCTTACAGGACTTTTTCTTCTTTGGAGGAAACGAGACAAGAGGTGCGGAAATACCACAGATCCACTGGGACCTCGTCCAGCCCCCCCTAAACCCCTCAAACCCCCTAACCCCCCCCCCCCCCCAGTCTGACCCAGCTCCTATAGGCTAAACCTGTTTCAATGTGTGCACACCTAAAGAGTCCAGGGCTCATTTCAAGTTCTTTATGACACCCTTTGTATTCTAAAATCCATCTGATGTGTAGTGAGTTTGAGTTGACCTCATTGTGCTGAAAGGTGTTTTTATCACTTTAGATTTCTACTTTCTATCAGAGACTTTATGACACTCTGTAGTAGTGAAGTGATGCACACTTGTAAAGCATTTTGCATGCTTGTATCATAACACCAGTTTTCCCACAAGGACTTTCTGTAGATAAAAAATAAACGTGCATGCTTTAGGAGCAATTAATCGCAATTTTATTGATATCGCGAGAATTTGCAAAAACTAAAATGATGCAAAAGTCACATTTTTTGGATGTGCAATACGAAAAGTATCGATGCTTTCTCACTCAGAATGTGCACATTATATCACGAATAACCTATCCTGGTCATAACTTTATAAATGATATCACATGTCTAATGCAAATAAAAGTTCATTAAAAGTAATCATCTTGCAGCAAAGCAAAGAGGGTCCAACATGTTGCACTGAATGGAGCATAACAGAGCGGGAGCTGTGCTGTCTTACCTCCGTGAAGAAGTTATCCATCGTCCTCGTTATTATAATCCCAGAGGATTGGCTGTGTGAAACCCGCGCGTCCCGTCAACCCCACTCATGTGTTGTTTAGTTTGATTCCAAACACGAGAAGAAGAAAAGAGACAGAGAAAGAGAGAGAGAAAGAGAGAGAGAGAGCGAGAGAGAGAGAGCAGATCCGAGAGGTTCAGTCCATGCTGTTCCTCCTGAGCCTTCTGCAGGATGGAGCACAGTCAGTCCTTCAGGCAGTGAGGAGCTGCAGGAGTAGATTTACTCTTTGTCTCATGAGTTTCTCCTCCAGCAGAGACTGAAGAGAGAAAACACACTCTCAGGTCCTCTCCTTCTCCTGGAGTTCAGACTCCTCTCTGCGTCTCCTCTGTCCTCCGCTCGCTCCTGATCGCTGCTTTGTTGTTTCGGTCAACAGACAAACATGAAGCGGGAGAAGAAGTGAGTGATCGAGGAGCCGGTCAAACTTTGGAGACGCTCACTCAGGCAGTCACTCAGACCGGCGCACAATAATCCTGAAGCTCCACCTCTCCACCCAGAACCCCCCTCCACCTCCACCTCCCTCCTCCTCCTCCTCCTCCTCCTCCTGCTGCTGCCGCCTCTCTAACTCCTCCTGCTGTCAACATGTGGAGCACAGAGAGAACAGACCAGAGGAAAGTTGAGTCGTTGGTGGACTCAGAAATTCAGACTTTAATCCCAGAATTTTCACTTTCATTTCTTAATTGCTCAATCCAAACAGATGATTGGCCAGTGTGTACGGAAGAGGATTAGGGTCAACCAGGCATGAGGAATAAATAATGAGAGGAGAAAGATTTTTTTTTAATTATCCACCTTGAGAAAAAAGATCAACATGTTCTGGATAAAAAAAAAAAAATCAAGAACAAAAATTTCACACTATTATATTTCAACTTTTTCTCAACATTTTACGAGGGAGGATTAGGGCCACGTTAAAAAACATTTTTTTTTAATTTCGAGTATTTTCGAGGAAAATACTTTAAGAGTTCTACTTTCATCATTTTCGCGCAGGCTGGTCTCGAATTTGTTAATTTACGACTTTAATCTCGTAAATGTATTTATTCTATTTTATTTTAACGTGGCCCTAATCCTCCGTCGTAACATTTTGACCTTTCTCTCAAAATTAAATTTGATTTATTTTTCTTGATATTTCCACTTAATTCTTTAAATAACATTTCCACTTTGTTCACTATATTTCTACTACTTTCTCAAAGTGCATAATTGTAAAAAAAAATCTTCAATCCATCATTTTTAATTTCTCCTGTCTGGCCATCTTCCTTGTATATCTATTCATTTAATTTGACTTAATAAGGCCGATGCAAGTTAAAGTCAGGGTCGGTCATTTCCTCCAGATTCAGGACCTAAAAACAATTTCAACCAAAATCTTAAAAAGTGGATCTGGAGAAAATGACCAACCCTGAATTTAAGTGTTCGTATCAGGAGTCATGCTCCGCCATGTGATTAATTATTAAGACGGTGTCACTGAGCTAAAGATTCACAGCTAAGTGACTTTAATGATCTGGTAGCATTTGAATGATTGAGTTCACTAGAAGCCTGAGCAATGTTGAGGGAGGTTTATATCAAACAGAAACATTTACACAACAGTGAGGCTGAGTCATCGTTTATGTTTTCATCCCTCTGTACTGCTCGCTGCCAAACATTTCTCACATCATCGCCCGAGGGAGGCGAGCATGTTCTTTGTTTGTCTGTTTGAAATGTGAAATCTGGACTTTTTATGAAAAGCCCACTCAGTGAGAAATCAAAAGACTCTGTGACTTAAAGCAGAGCAGCGGTCTGTGTTATCAGTTAACGAGCATCATGGTTTAGCATTAACATTCCAGCTGTGAGTAAACAACACTCAACGTTCATGTCTAATCCAAACACGGTGTGTGTGTGTGTGTGTGTGTCTGTGTGTGTGTGTGTGTGTGTGTGTGTGTGTGTGTTTCCCCCTCAACTCTCACAGCACACAGAATGACCCTGGCCGGTCTCAGCCTCAGGGCCATGCCATGTGGGGTTTACTGCCCCCTGCTGACGTCTTGCAGGAGATCAGCCAATCCCTGAGTGCCAGCCCCCCCTAGAAAGTGGATGAAAGAAGTGGACATGGTTATGGACGCAAATCAAGCTGCATCCTCCGGAGTTGAAAACTGAAGCCAGTGTTGGGGGGGCTAAAAAAGTGCAGTTCCTCGAGTGTCCACTTGAGGCAGACACCGAAAACCAAGGAATACCCATTAGGTACCATGTTAAAATGACATTTAGTACTGAAGAAGTAAACATGTCTACAGCCTGGTACAAACATGGTTTTCTACTGGATATTTCATGTCTTTATTTTAATTTGCCTTGAGAGTAGAGTGTGACATGTGAGGAAGGGAGCCACCCACTTTCAGGATTCTGTACATTGGGCAACGAACCAGCAGTCCACCGGCGCCCCCGCTCATCACCTTATTGTTTTAAAACTGTACAGGGGATTGATTATTTTTAATTGTGAAGAGTTATGAATACATGAGTTGATTGACAGGTTGGCACGTTGTAGCTTATCGCCAGTAGGCTTAAGGTCCGCCCCCTTACCTGTTTCTAGAATGATTGACAGTTAGGTGAAGATTGCATTTCCAATATGGCGACGACCAATGAGTGATGTCACTGAAACTACGTCCATGTTGTATAGTCTTTGGTCCAAAAAGTCAAGCGAATGCAGAAGTGCCTTAAACATGCATTCTGTAATATGGCCAGCAGAGGGCAACTCTGCTCATGTTTCTTAGTTTTTCATTGGTTAACTCCTGCTTCCCTCTGTCCTGATCGTTATGTCGGTTTTTATAGCTCCAAGTGCTGAAGTTAAACGAGGTAAAGGAGTCTTGTCCTGGCATTAGAAGCAGCTTCACACCTGAGATATTATAGTCTCCAAAAGACCCGATATCAGGAAGTCCCTCCCCTTTTTAAGTTTGACTGGTTGATGAGAGAGAAGTGACATCGATGAGGATGGCTTTTGGATCGCTGTTCCAAAAGTTGAATTGCAGAATTGAAAAACTGCTGACGCGGAGGGCTTTTGTGCTGTGGACGCTGAGTGCTGAAAACGCTAAGCTACATTGGTTTTGTAAAGTCAAAATAAACATCAAAGCAAGGTGTTCCTGAGGGCTTGGCTACCTTGTGTTGAACAAGTTGCCGTCATCCTAAAAATCAACATTACAGGTCAGTACTTAATTTAGCTTAAAGGCTTTATATGCGATAGATTTTTTTGATCCAGCAGATGTCGCCCTTGAGCACCAGCATGAAACCAAAACAACTTGCTCTGCATTTTTATGTTAGCATGCTAATGCTAGCGATCTTTATTATGCTCGTATCTTCACACTGCATGTAAATTTACCTGAAATGAGCGTGATCTAGAAACACAGTTAAGCAGTGAGTACAGTATGTTATTCTTCTTTTCTCTAGTCCCTCAATTAAACAACTTTTATACTCGAGGGGAGGAGTCAGTCGGCCGTCCCGGCGATGTAAACAAGCTGAAGATGGGACTCTGAAAACTCTGAAAACATCACAGACAGTGGGACTCGGGTGTTACACCCATTGTAGACAGTCATGACTCACAGAGTTATTTTCAGAGGATATACTTGATCTCTATTACATTTAAGTGTGAACAATCACATATTAAACCTTTAAAGTCTCGCACAAATGACCATCCTTATTCTGAATCGGTTAGCGCTTATATTAGCTGATCGGGGTTTACACCCCCCCGGCATGAGATGGTGGTACTGCCGAACTCAAGGCTTCTTAACAGTAGTCCACTAAACGATGGGGGACGTCACACGGCTGCTTCTTCTTCTATCACTACTTCCAACACAACCATGAAACCGCTTTCACACGGCAGTCCAGATTTTCTTCCCTGTTATATAAAGAGCAAAAGATGGCAGAGAGATGAGAGGAAAAGTGTGTTTTTACAGACCCCTGAACAGTTTCCTTTATAACCTCATGAGTCAAAGGAGCCTTCTGTGAAGCTTCAGATGATCTTCAGAGATCTGTGAGAGCCCTTGTCTTCAAATGCTCGGGGGGGTCCGATGTGAACTTTAGCAACACCTGAACCACCACCACGTTGCATGTTGGTTTGTGATCTTGTGACAGATCAGATGCTCGTGAAATAGCGGGAACACAATCTGATCCACAGGGAGAAAGATGAAGGGTATCTTAAGGAGGAGGCGGATGCAAAAGCCAACAACATTACTGATCATGGAAGTGGACGTTGCTTCTTTGTCTGGCAAAAATAAAAGCAGATGTTGAAATTCTTAAACCAGCATTCTTTCTAACGACTGGCATGTTGCTGACTCCACTGTTTGCAATTCATAGGTCTAATTGTCATGAAGAGAAAAGCCAATCTTTTACCTCTGTAGATTTCTTGATTTCTCTAAATAGTTTAATGGTCAAGCTCCGAGCTGCTGAGGCCTTATAACACCAGCAGGTCCCTGAGGTCCTCTGACCAAGGTCTGTTGGTTGTTCCTCACACAATGCTAAAAATCAAAGGAGACTGTGCCTTTGAGGTTGTGGCACCTAAACATTGGAACCGTCTTCCCCCCAGAACTGAGAGCCTTGACCTCTGTGGACACTTTTAAAAAAACAGCTAAGGACCCATCTGTTCAGACCTGCTTTTGTTTGATCCGTCTGTATTTTATTTTAAGGTGCTATATGAATAAACTTTTACCTTACTTACTTTACTTACTTTAAAGTCATGATCACAAAGTTGTATGTCTTCCTAATACAGCGGACGCCTGTCAAACAGAACAACGTCCACCACCCTCCAAAATGTGAACACATCTGCCTCTAAAAAACCCAACATGACAAAGGCCACAAAGTCAAACTTAATGCTTTAAAATGGCTCTCAGGTGCGCAGGTTTAGCTCGGTTGGAGCAGGCGCCCCATGTTCTGTGGCGACAGTCTTTGTCAAACTGGCCGCAGGTAGGTTTGACTCCCCAATGCGATGTTGTTTGGGACATATCATCCCCCACTCTTTTTACCATTTTTACCTTTTAAAAAATGACACTCAACAAATCAATTGATGAAATAACTGTGTCTTAATTCCTCTCTTCAATCTTCTTCAGAGTTCAGTTCATTGGGCCCTGTCATGTAAATGGCTGGTTTAAACTTCTGCATGGAGTCAACGCTGTAGTTTGTACGTTGGTTTGTCTGCTTAATCTGTACTCCAGTTGGCAGTGCGTTTTTTTGTGCTTGTAATATCACCAGTTTCCAGGAAACCATTGTGACTGAAACTGAGCGTATAATGTTGGATTTGGAGCTGATGAATTGCGTTCTAGTGTTTTTTTTCCTGAGCAGAAATCTGAATATGGTGGCCATACTGAAAATATTGTAAAGGCTGGAAATACGATGCTACAGTACGCAGCGAACCAATCGCAGGGCTTGTGGTCAGAGTCTTTTTAAACATGTAATTATGTTTTTTAAGAGGTGCACGTCAGGCTGCATATCTATGAATAAATGGCGTCGATTTGACAGAAGTATTAATCCGGCTTGAGTCCAGACAAACAGCTCTATCTCCAAAAAAAAAAAGGTTTAGCTTTAATCAGATTCTGATACAATTATGTGGCAATAGAAGATTGAAGTTGATAAAATAGTTATTGAGAAGAAGCCAGGTAAAGGTGACATACTGTATCAGTCAGAGACGACATGAGAAACCTGTGTATTACTTTTCAAATGAACACTCAGTAGTGATGCTGAAGGTGTTTTTCCTCACTTCACCTTGTGTAAATGCTTGTTGTGTTTTTAGCTGCCCTCCCTCTCAGAGGTGTTTTCCACCCGTTACCATCTTCAACAGCTCACCTGTCTGTACAGCGTCACCTGAGTGACCTTTGACCTGTAATTCCTGACTTGCTGACAGAGGTTAAGTAACACTCACTCGGTGCTGCGATGGGTTTAAGCCCCTGAGGATTCCTAAGTCAGGGTCAAACTGGATTTCTCAAGGGGGAATGAGCCCAGCCCACAGACGCACAACAACATGAACACACCTCCACCCCTGCTCTGCTCCTCTCTGGGTCAAGGACCTTTAGGAGCTGCCACGTAGGTGTTGAGTTTAAGTGAAAGGCTGTCACGAGAGATGAGGAGCTGCTGATCCACTCGGCTGTTAACTAATGTCTGCATGTTTTAACCTGTTCAGTATTATTACAAGCTCCATGGAACTGCAGGCTTTCTCTCAGGCAACACAAACATAATGCTAAAACAAACATAATGCTGACAAAAAACATAATGCTAATAAAAAACATAATGCTAAAACAAACATAATGCTAATAAAAAACATAATGCTAATAAAAAACATAATGCTAATAAAAAACATAATGCTAACACAACATAACGTAGAACAGATAGGTTTTTATTTAGTTGACTTTTCTACTCTTCTTCTTCTCACTCATCACTGAGCGGTAGCAGCTGATGACACGAGTCAGACGATTGAGGTTTAATTCTTTACCCGCTTCTCAGAGAAATAATTTACTGTGGCTGTTTCAGAGTCTACCAAAAGATGGAAGATAACCACAGAAAGAACTTCAACCAACCAGCGCTGTGCAGGGAGAGAAACAGAGGAAATGGAGGACTGACAATGACACACAACAGACATAAACAACCTGGAGGTCAAGGACACAACGGAGATCAAGGTAACTTGTTATTGTGAAATTACCCAGAGTTCCCAAGATTTAAATGGGAATAAAGAGAAGATTTAAAAAGTTTAAAAAGTGAGTAATCCATTTTATACAAGCAATGAATCCCAAAGTGGAAGCTGTGTGGTCATTTCCCAAATTTAGCATGACTAAGAAGTTCACTGTTGCATCCACAAAATAGATTGCATACAAGAAGACAAATATGTTATAGATTAAAAGTTAAGCCAATGTGGAAGTGTGTGAAGCCTGATTTCTGTTGATAATTTCACCTTTTCCAATAAGAAGTCTCTAACCGGACAGGCTATAACGTTTCTGATGCATCCAGGGCATCAGGTAAATCATCACGAGGAGCATCAGGCTTATTCTCTTTTACCTGTCAGATTTATTTTTGGGGTTTAATGCCTTCAGGGAAAGAAAAAGAGGGGGGAGGGAGTGGCATGCGGGGAAAAGGCACCTGAGGTCAGACTTGAACTCCGGGGTTGCCGGCCTCGAGGACTTGGGCCTCCGGTCAAGGGGTGCACACATATTTGAGCTCCCAGGTCCTGTAGGTTCCTCAGGATTGTTGGTGAGAATGGCCTGCTGCAATGGACCCAAATTCCGACATCTTGTTGTCTTAAATCCTAAACAAAGATGTCCTGATTAAATGTCATTAAGGGATATTCTATCAAAAGAACAAAATGTACTCAAAGTTGTTCTGTATTCACGGTGTGATGTCGTTACAACATGAAGTACCTTTAATACAAACTGGACTTCATCACCTCCTCTACGGCTGACTGTCAGTTAGTGTCTTTAGTTTGTGTGAAGTGACCCTTTAAGATAAACACATTAGAGGCTTGCTCAGCCTTGTTGAGGGCCGTGCTTCTCGCTGTCAGGTTTACACACACACACACACACACACACACACACACACACAGGTCAGTTATAGTTCATAAGCGCGCCTTTGCTGATGGGATCATCTCAGAAGGCGCAGGATTTATCAGCAGCTCTGAGCAGAGGTCAGGTATGGTCCGGGTCTCACAGGTCACTGCCTCTTCCAGAACACACTGACCTCTCTATAATCCCCCCCCCCCTCCATGCTTCCTGCTGCAGGGAGAGGAGAGAAGGGGGGAGAGGAGGGGGCTGCTGCTGGCTCGTCTCTACTGTGGGAATCCCTGCAGAGCTGCTGAGACGTTGATAACAAACTGCTGAATGTCACACTGGCTCCAACAGTGGAGGAAGAATGATGAAGGTGAATCAGGGTTCAGAGGAAAAATAACATTACAAAACACTTCACTTCCATTAATTCTTACTTAACAAATTGTATTCACTTCAAATATTACCAGTAAAACTATGTACGTTTCCTCAAATATTCACCTGTTGGAGAATGACAGCCTGCCCCATGTACAGAGGTCCTAGTGGTAACATGCAGTGGTTGTGGGTTCGAATCCATTTGAGGCAAAAAAAATGGCAGAAACTATAACAAAATAAGAAAAAGCCTGAGGTAGACTTCAAAACCGCTCATGGTCTGGAAGATATTTTTTGTGCAGGTGAGCAGATTTTTGGTCATCAAATGAATGAGATGTCAGAATTCTTTGCAAACACTGCCATCTAGTGTCCAAAAGTAAGTACTACAAAAAACAACAAACGAGGAAAGCTCAAACCTGGAACATTTTAAAAACATATACATGCACGTTCAAAAGCTTTTGCAAAAGCACATAAGACATTACTGAATCAGCCAGCCCTCATTTACAATATATTGATATAATTTAATATATCTACTGAGTGAGATGATAAAGGTGTCTTACTATCTGATCATTAAGGAAACATGCTATGTTGAAGTGCTGGCTTCTCTGACAACAATGCAGCAGCCAGTATGTCCTCCTTCTAACTTTAGATTCTGCTCCTGAATGCTCTGGATTTGTTTGGACCAGAGAAGGTAGGAGCTTTTAAGGCGACCCCCCCACACACATCCGTTTTGGACGCCCCTCGGTTTGCCAGATATGAGAGCAGTTATCAGGTCATCAGGTGTTGCAGCGATGGAAGCGGTCAAGAGAAGTGGTTCAGATAGAAGTGATTGTACCCGACCTAAAAAGCCTCTGCATGTTTCTAATAAGCTCCACGAGCAGAAACGTGCTCAAACTAGGCTCAATATTGGAGATGCTTTTGAAAAATGGAGAGAGGTTAGAACACAGAAAGGTTTACAGACCCATGCAGAGCTGGATAAACACTGAAGCTTCAGAGTCCACCACATGGTGACCTGTGTGAGCATCTCTAGAAAGGAGGGGGGGGGGGGGTACAGCTCTCTACAATGTTTTGAATTTGGACTGCAGTACCCATTTTAAACACTAGGGGTCAGAGTTACATACTGCTCCTTTAACGATCCTTTAAAACAGCATCACACACAATTACACAAATACAGACAGCTCTCCCTCAGCTCTCAGCTGATGAACGAGCCTCGTCTCTAAACCTATTTTTTTATGTTTCATATAAACACTCAAATCCTTCATGATTTACAATTTGAATTATCCTTCTCAAACCTTCTCCAATGTGAAACAGAAATATCTACGAGATGGATGAAGGGATGTTGGATAAATGTAATGATGAGTAAACAGTGAGCACGCATCTCTTTGATTTAACACAACCTTTCCTTCACACTCATGGGAGAAACGATGAATGTAGTCGACACCGGGGAAGTATTTCTAAACATCAACAGGAGTCCTTCTTCTTCCACCTGCTGGCTGTCAGGTGGATTAGTTTGTGCATCAACAAGTGCATTCAGTAACTCCTCAGAGTAGATGATAGAAGAGCTGCAGTGAAGGACAGGGGGCGCAGCGAGGCAACGAAAGGCTGAGAGAGGAGGAGTAATACTTCTAAAAGAAGCGCAGACACATTTGCATTCCCATCCAGTGAGCAACAAAAACACGAATTCACTCTTTGAGACCTGAAAGATGAGGAAAAGCTTGAATTCACTGGGTGTGGAAGTTATTTCCTCTTTACAAATAGAGACATCAGGATGCATTTGAGAGGGAGAATTACTGAAATATGTCAGGGTACAGTAAAGGCATTACCGATAATAGTAGAACAACCGGATTATGAATCACGGTATCAAACCACTCGACTGAAACTCAAACTTCACGCCTTATTGAGCGAAACAAACTCATTAAATAGAGTCAACATGTTTCGTCTCAAAGAACAATTTGGATTGTGAGTCAGCTCCGTGTGCTTCCTGTGTGTGCATGCATGCACAATCCCCGCGCGTGCACGTGCATTCGGATTGCGTGTGCGCGAAGGCGGAGGATCGCCGAGCCCAGCCGAGCCGAGCCGAGCCGTGCAGCAGGGCACAAGCCGCC